TTCAGCTTCCATTCAATGTTGTGTGATCATATCATACTTGTCCAACATTGTGATCCAATGTGAAATCATCCTTCCAGTTTTTATAGCTTATGAACCATTTAAGTGATGCATTATTCACTTTGATAATGATATTATCACTGTATAAGTAATGTTGGTAGTGTTTCATCAACATACAACTACAAACAAATTATTTATTTGTGTTGCAGTATCTGCATTCAAGGGCAGTGTGTGTGTGGCTTACATAGTAGCTCACTCTCTTCACCCTATCCTGCAGCTACAATAGCAACACTCTGACTCTACTCTCACTGGAATTTGTATCCTACAAGAATTTACATTTCTATTTTGAATATTCCAGTATAAGTGCTTTTACTAAAGCTTGCTTCAAGGTGAGAAATATGTGTTTTCATTCATTTAGCCACCTGAAATGAGCATCAGCTTTAGCGAGAGTGGGAATGGATGATGCTTCTAAGACAAACTGACAACAAAACTCAGTAGTATGATGTCAATCAAAGGAAACTTTGAATCTCTCATCTCATCATGGGTTATGGCTAGTCTCCAACTGCTGCAATTTCCGCAAGATCCATTAAGATGCCTTTTTTACCCTAACAAGACTGAGAAACTCTACTGATGTACACATAAGCGCAACTTTCCTAGTCTTCAGTTTTAATCCTGCTGTTCATATCTACTACAAAACCGTGAACAGTTTTATAGCAGCAGATTTGAATATGCAGCCAAACACAAAGATGTCGTTCACATATAACAGACATATTTCCCATTACAGACCTTTAAGTGTCAGTAATATCAACTTATCAAAGGTATCTGGAGCATTAAACATTCTGAAGAGAAAAACTCAGTCTCAAATAACCCATCTCGTATGTGAAAGCAGTTTTGGTTCTACTATAGTCACCCAACTCGACTTGCCAGTATCCAGAGCCCAAGGTTAAAATGCTGAGCCCTTGGGCACATTTCAGTTTGTTCAAACATCTATCTGTCTGTGGCATGGCAATGAATGGCATCAATGCATCATGATGTTCACTTAGTGGAAATTAATACAGAACCCATGGCTATCATCCTTCTTTTTGACAATCACAACAGGAGAGGACCATTCACTCTCAGAGACTGAGTGATCCCCTCCTTTAACATGTAAGAAAGTGCTTACTCACGAGGTTACCGAGACAATGTGACTGAGTTGAATCTATATTGCTGCTGCAATAATCAGCTAGTAATTATAGAGAAGCCCAGAGCAGAGTTTTCTAACTGGGAGAGAAGAAGAGATCTTAGCATTACTGCTAATGCCAGCCACCTCCACGTTACTTGCAGTTCTGATGGTCATTCCAGTGAAAAGCTGCAGTGATGATTGGCTATAGTTGCAAAGCAGCATTGGGACATAACCCTTTGATTGTTGTATTACAATCCATGCTAACTCTGACTTCTAACCATACAGAAGATAGTGAGCCTCATACATTGGTTTGGCGGCCACATTGCATGGCATCAGTGTACACAATTGTGTGTTCTTAGTAAACCATATCCCATAACTTATATGTTCAGAGATTCTTTCTGCTATTTACATGTGAGAGGTCCAATGACCCTAACTAAGTTTGGTTCATCGTTGGATAGTCTTCTCACCAAAGCTCAGTTCATTTGTGACACAGGCAATATTGGCTGAGAGCTTCTACAGTAAGTCTATCCCAAGCATGCCAATCCCAAATCTTACGTCAGTAACTACAATCTTCGTCCTTTGATTCATGGAATCGAAGCAGATGTGCTTATTTTTACATCCAATCTATATGTGAGTGTGTCCACTGGCCAAAGTAGCGGCTTCACTCAGAGTATCCATTAGGGTTTTTGTAGCTTCTATGTCCACCAGGAACTCTGTTGTTTTCTATACATATATACCAAGCATTGGTCAGCCCAGCCCAAAATGAACTCCTTTGTCAAAAATGGACTATCATATTCCCAAGCTGGTAGCCATACCTGACATGGACTCTGTTAGTTTTCCAGATTTTCACCCAGTGCGGTGATTGCCATGCATTTGGTTTTGACAGAAGTAACTGTCTACCATCCTACAAGAAAGTCATGGGCATATTGTATGGCTTCACTATTGCAGCTCATAAACATAGAAAATGTATGGGCTCCACATCTGAACTAATGTTCAGGGGAAGCATAGGCTGGCTGCCCCTACTGCAGTGGTGCAAGCATCACAGATGGCCCTGTATAACTCTGCTCAGTGACTGGGTAGGAGCTAGTTTTCATTACAGCACCTTGCAGTGTTGCCTATGACTTTATTCTCTGCAAAGCTCGCAGTCAGCAATGGGTTTCACCCTTGGGTTGGGATACTCATACTTTAAGGAGCCATGACAGCTGTCGCTGTTGGTTTACTATTTTCTGGCCATTATTTGTCCAAGGTGACCATGTAAAACTTCATGACTCCTGACACAGTCTCTGTTAGGGTACAACTGTCTCACATGCCTAAGTGATGCCTCATTGAATATATCGACAAGGATGGCTTTGAAATCCACAGTCGCCATTGCTGGACATGTCTTCCCGTGCAGGCAGCGTAGGTGGTGTGGGACCTTGCTTGCAAGCCTTATATTTGTGTCAAACCTTTAGTGCAACTCAATCATGAAAGAGTCCCAGTTCGTCAGCTACATCTTCAGCAGATGTTTGACAGCATAGAATGCTGGACCATAATGCAATAACAGGTGTTCCTTTGCCTGCTCTTGTGACTCGTAGTTCCATGCAATGACTTGCCAGGACATATGAGGTAACCAACCAGATCTATCTTTGCCACTCTCTTAAACATGAAAGGAGAGATTTGCTTAACGTTGACCACATATGAATCTCTCGTAGGTTGTCTCGTGCTTAATTTTGGATATTTCTATCCAATGCAAGGGTAGGGATTCCCTCAAGATTTTGGTGTCTCGAAGCCCTGCAACTGCATAAATGTTGACTCTAAGCTCCAGAGTTGCTGAGTGGTAAGATGCAAACTCTGTCTCATCAGCAGTTTCTACCGGATCTCTGCTTCCCCTATGACCATTTTTTGCCATGCCAGTTGACCTCTTTTCCGGCTCCATTTTTCATTATTATAGGAAGGAGGTACTTTAGATGGAATCACAGATTGCTGAGGTGGACTTTATCCACCATTGGTTCCTCTTCCTTAGATCATTCTGTGACTGGGTAGTTTTATTTCACTTTATATGGAGGGGACACTCAATGTGTTTCTAACAGTGATACTTCATATACCCTCATTCTTATTTGTGTGGTGGCATGATACCCATCTTCTCAGAAACATTCCCACCTGTCCCATACTTCGCTATTGTCATCAGTGAATACTTTACGGTCTTGAACACATTGATGAATTTTCAAGCCAATGGTCTCTTACCTTCAACTCATGGCATGGTAGCTAACTGTCTTCCTCTTGTAGTGGATATTTGTCCTATACCCAGTCATGATGGACCTTACTAAGGCCTCAGCTTCTAACAAATTGATGGGGCTGACAATAACAGCTTAGCACGTCAATTAATTGTTTTTTAATTTCTCTAAGAAAACTTATAAATAGGCCATGACCTTCACTCAGTTTCAGCACATCAGTCAAGAACACTAAAGTTACTTATTTGCTTGAGTACCTCACTGTGTCCAAAAGAGGAGTTACAAAAAAAAACAACATAATATGAATTTTTCTTTTCAATTAACTAAAGTAGCATTTGCATTTGTGTATTATATGCTGTCAATAAAGAAAGTAATTGTGTAATAGTATATTTCCAGTCTTTTTGAAGTAACTCAGCATCAAATACGTAGAGAAAATATGGTACTGCTCTGTAATTTAGTATCTGTCTATTCTCCATGTTCTTGAGGTTATTACATATTACTCTGATAGTAAATAAAGCAGTGTGAAAATACTGCAGTGGTAAACCTGCTATTTAGTTAAAAGTAGCCAGAGGCATCGCAAGGTGTTTAAAAGATTCGGTGCTCGAGCCCATAGGCATAGGAATTGTCGGCGTTTCAGTGTGATATTGATCATGGTTTTCTATCCTGATTTTTCAAGACAAAATTGGGAGATTCTGGATACGAGCCCCGTGTGCCAGCGCCTAGCGACGCCTCTGGAAATATCTGGCTTTCGTGTCAAAAGTTCTAAATTAGAAACTACTATACCTAAACATTAGGGTCTCTGACCTAACTATTTACCTATGCATTGCATAAGATGCCATTCAGGTTGAAAGTACTAACTTGTTATTGTTTGTTTTTTGTTGGGTGAATTCTTATAAATTATTTGGCATAAATAATGCAAAGTCCAGTTCACGTAGCAATAACAAATTAGTTTTATATAATTGATACATGAAACCGTCGGTACTTGGTGAAACTCCATTATTGCAGAATTGAGGAAAAAACAAAGACAACTGTGCGTTTCACAAAAACTTCATTTATTAATAACCATGGTTTGTTTATTCATTGACATTTTCTGCTACTATCACTTTTACACAGTTGTAGACCCAAGTTCACAAATAGCGTTTCGGCTTTCAACAGCCCTCTTCCCCACGGTGGTTCAGCTGTAAGCCAGTGGGCTTATAATGCTAAATATCAGGTTTCGATATCCCCGTTTAGAAGAGCACAGATAACCCATTGTGTAGCTTTGTGCTTTATAACAAATAAACAAAATAATTCAACAAAACCTACTTGCTAATAGTACTATAGCTAATGCGCAAATAGTCTTACTTGTGGTATAACTTCACGGCTAATCGATCTAGCAGCTAAATATATGCAATAAATAACAATGATGTGAATATTTCACTAATTTTTCAGTAAAAACTTTTAACTTATAATAACAGGTTTGTGGCATTTACTTTATATATATTCCTTGTGTTCCATTTCAAACAAGAAAAAACATGAAACACTCTACAAAACATATTTGCATTCAAATTTACACATACGTTTAAAAGAAAACATTGTATCTCGGAAGGTGACGCTCCGGCACAAACTATTTCGCGCACTAATGTTATCACCATCAGACTGTATGTTATATTAATTATGGTTTGAATTTACGTATACATACTTCAGCAGAAATAACGGGTGTATTGTATAAGTGTCTGTTGAAGAGAACGCTGAATTCCTTAGGTCTTATTCAACTGTCACATCGATTACTTAGTGTAGTTAATTTAATATTATTAATATTAGTATTGGGTTGTTAAGTTATTTAGATTTAAAATGTCGTACGTGGAAAAAATGTCTATTATGGGTATTCGTAGTTTTGGACCATATGACAAAGATAAACAAGTTATCAGTTTTTTCATTCCACTAACATTAATATTAGGACCAAATGGATCAGGAAAAACCACAATTATTGAGTGTTTAAAATACATTACAACAGGAGATATGCCTCCAAACTGTGGAAGGGGTGGATCGTTTGTTCATGACCCAAAAGTGGCTCGTGAACAGGAAGTGAAAGGTCAGATCAAGTTACAGTTTCAAGATGTGCTTGGAAAACAAGCAGTGTTAACAAGATCCATTGTAGCCATTCAAAAGCAAAAGAAAATTGAAACGCGAACGTTAGAAGGTGTGATAAGCCGCCGAGCTCCTAATGGAGAGAAAATCAGTATGAGTTCCAAGTGTGCACAGATTGATAAAGAAATGATTTCCAATTTAGGTGTATCCAAAGCTGTTCTAAATAATGTAATATTCTGTCACCAAGAAGAATCAAATTGGCCGTTGAGTGAAGGAAAAGCTCTAAAACAAAAGTTTGATGAAATATTTGCTGCAACTCGATACATTAAAGCACTTGATAACATTAAAAAGATACGTACAGAAAAACTAAACAATGTAAAACATTACCAAACAGAGCTGAAGTTCCTGAAGCAGAATAAAGATAAAGCTATTGAGATAAAGGAAGATTTGGGAAGAACACAAACCCGTTTGTCTTCATGCAAGGATAGAGTGAATGAAGTTGAAGAAAAATTACGACCAATCTATGCTAAGCTTGAACTAATAGCAGAACGGGAAGAAGATATAAATAACCTACAAACTGAGATGAATAGCAATAAGGAGATACTGAAACACTTAGAAAACAGCTATAATGATCTCCATAAAAACATCAAAAATATTTTTCATGGAACAGTTGATGAGCTTCAGCAAGAACTAAAGGACTATCAAACTGTTTTGGAAAGAAAACAGGCTTCTTTTATGAAGCAAAAAAGAAAATTACAAGAATGTGAGCAAGAATGTGGATTAATTACTAAAAATAAGTCTTTGTTTCTAGTGGACATTGGCAGGCTAACACAAGAGCAGCAGCAACATCAAGAAAAAATTGAACAAAGAGATTCTCTTGTAATGTCTTTGAGTAGACAGTTTGGTGAGGGTATTTTTTCTGAAAGTGGAAGCCCACTACAAGAAGAAAAGGTTCAGAAGGTGGTTCAGTGTCTGCAGCAAAGGCTGGAAATTGCAGAACAAGATCTAAGGAGATCCAAAGTTAAGTTTGCTACAGAGGAAAAAGACCTCCAGAAAAGAATGGAAATTGTGAGGGAGCAAAAAATTAAATTAGATCAAAAAAATTTTTTTGAATGTGACCAGCTAAGTAAAAACCGTGAGGAAGTTAGGGAAATTACTAGAGAAGTTAAACGGATTGATACTTCAGCAAACAAATTGAAGGATTTAGAACAAGATCAGGCCCAAATGGAAGAAGAGTTGAAAGAAGTGGAGGTATCTGTAGATATAAACAGTATAAAATCAAACATTGTAGGAAAACAGAAACAACTAAGTATTTGGGAAACTCAGATTTCTAACTTAAATGTTGAAATGGACCAAATGCAATTAGAGGGTAAAGTTCGAGCTGAGATTGACATTCTCCAAAAAGAAAAAATGACAAAGGAGGAAAATTTGAGAAGATTGCAAGGTCGAAATGAGGATACAATAACTCATTTACTTGGCAAAGTTGAACTTGAAAATTTACGAAATACTTTAGAAGACTATTTAAATAGTATATCCAGAGAAGTTCAAGAGCTCAGTAAAGAGTTAAGTATTAAAAAGTCAAAGCTCTCATCATTAGAAACTACCAAAAACTTTCAAGTGGAACAATTGCATCAGAAAGAAAAAGAATTAAAGTATCATCAAGAACGTGTTAATCAAATCTCTGGGAAAGAAAGTTTTGATGAGACATTAGAATTTCTTCAGAGCAGTATAAAATCATTACATGATGAAAAGGGTTCACTTATTGGTAGCCAATATATATATAGTAAATATGTAGAAAAACTACAACGTGAAAATCCATGTTGTCCTCTTTGCCAGCGTCATTTTGAAGAAGATCAAGAATCAAAGGATCTTCTCCGAGATGTGCAAAGAAAGCTGCAGATGATTCCATCACAGTTGGATATTAAACAGAGGAACTTAACTGAACAACAAGAGAGACTTGACAAAATGTTGGAGCTACGTCCTGTTAGAGAAGCTATGGTTGAACTCTCTGAAAAAAAAATTCCTGATGTTAAAATAAAGATCAGTCAGTTGAACAAAGAAATTGAGTCATTACTGAAAGATATTACTGAAATGGAAGAGACTTTAGATGCTAAGCAAATGGATCGTGAAACTGCTGCATCAATTCAGCCTGACGTTATTCTTCTTGACCAAAGCAATGTGGAACTTCAGAGAACTGAAAGAAAAGTAAAAACCTTGAAATGTAAACTTTCTGGAGAGGATACCAGTCGTACTGTTCAACAAGTTAGTGATGAAAGAAACCACTTGCAGAAAGAGAGTGAATCTGTAAGACGCCATCTTGATATGCAGCAGAAAATAATTCATGAACACCAAGAGAGAATACAGAATTTAAGGGAACAAATCCACCAGGTGCATACCAAAAAATTTCAGATTTCTGGTGACCTTCAAAAGCGTTTAACCTTAGAGGAACGAGCAAATAAGTTGATGGCAGAAAACTCCAAGCTGGAGCAGTGTATTCATGAATCTAAGGAAAAGGTCAGAAAATTAGACAAACAAATAGAAAACTTACAAGATGAGTCTAAGCAATTAACTGAATCTAAAGAACATGAATTTCAAATGCTACAAAACAAATTAAAAACTAAAACTGAGGAAAAATCATCACTGGATAACTTAAATGATAAGATCACCCAATTTGCCAATTCTGGAAAGTTAACAGAACTTAAAGATAAACAAACAAAATTACAAGAATTGCAAGAGAAGCTGAATATGGAGTTAAATAAGTTCAAGACAATAAACAGTGATATTCAAAAGTTAAATGAAGAACTTTCATCTCAAGAAATGAAGAAGCGGGAACTTCAAGACAACTTGGAACTTAAGAAAATTGAAGATGATATGTCTAATCGAAAAATAAAAATGGAAGTAATTGAAGAAAAGTTGGGGACTATTGATGCCACTAGTTTCTACAGAGAAAAACAAAGACTTGTTAAAGATGAAAGAAACTTGACAGGAGAACGTCAGCAAGCTGAAGGTCGAAAACGAGAGTTGGAAGAAATTGTCCGCAAGCAGCAGAAAGAGCTGGAAGAAGATATGTATAAAAATGCTGAGAAGCTATTCCAAACCACATTAATACAATTAAGAACTACAGAGTTAGCGAGCGATGACTTAAACAAGTATTACACAGCCTTGGACAAAGCAGTTATGCATTACCATAACATGAAAATGGATGAGATAAATAAGATTATTCGAGAACTTTGGATTAAGACTTACCGAGGAAATGATATTGATTATATAGAGATACGGTCAGATGAAGAAGAAGGTGGAGCTAGCCTAGATAAGCAAAAAAGAACATATAATTACAGAGTTGTGATGGTGAAAGGAGACACATCTTTGGATATGAGAGGACGATGTAGTGCAGGACAAAAGGTGTTAGCTTCACTGATTATTCGTTTGGCTTTAGCAGAAACATTCTGCTTGAACTGTGGTATCTTAGCTTTAGATGAACCTACTACTAACCTTGATCGAGATAATATTGAAAGCTTGGCTCATGCTCTAGTTGAAATTGTTAAATTTCGTTCTCAGCAAAAAAATTTCCAGCTGATTATTATTACTCATGATGAAGATTTTATTGAATTACTTGGACGATCAGATGCAGTTGAGTATTTCTACAAGGTCAGCAAGAATCACGAAGGCAAGTCTCAGCTGAGCAAATGTGTATTTGGAGAAGTCACTCGGTGAAGCAAGTTGTCACATTGGTTTCCCTGATGAAACAACAGATCAAGTGTTTTATTTTTGATACATTTAACACCATTTTTTTTTCTTCATGTAACAGCAGTTGTGCACAACATTCTATAGTATATTAAATTACTCCTTATTTGTTATTTGCAAAATTAATGGATCCTTTCAGAAAAAGCTATGAATGTTATCAATAACTAAATATCATTTATGCTGTTAAAGATATAACATTTTGTTTGAACATATGGATATGATTTATTTAAAACATATTTGTTAAAACATATTTTTAAGCATAAGAAAAATAAAATTCATGCTCCATAATTATTTTTTTTTAATGTGGTAACTCTCATCACATGTACTTAAATAATGGCTCACATTTTATGAAATGACTTGAGATTATCCATGCCTTCTTGTACATCTCTGGAGTCATTGACCAATATTGAGTGTGTCAGCAGTGGTAAAATTTCCAGCACAGGTTTTAGTCAAATTTATTCATGTTGCTATTATAATAAAGATAATATTCTGGTGTTGGCAGTGAACTTGTAGCACAGACATGTGTAAATTTATTAATGTTTCATTCATTCAGTTTTAGTATCAGTGGTTACGAGTATTTTTAATATTTTTTTAACATTTATATAAGACTTCAATTTCTCTAGTATTGATTGCTATTTTGGAAGTCAAACTTACTGTGAAACAAATTATATATATTTGCCAATGGTTTGCAGAATTGTAATATATTTTTATTTCATCTATCAAGTTATTTCAAATTTGGAAGAACATGTGCTCAATAGAACAAATTGCTCAAAAAAATTTAAATTATAATACACAGAAAGAGATATAACTAATATTAATTTGATTCTTTTACCAGCTACATGTACTGTGTTAATTTTGGTGATTTTAAGTTTATAAAATCTAAGTATAAAATCTATATTTTAAAGTTTCTACAAGAGTTTTCCTCCCTTGAGAGAAATTATTGCTCATTACATCTCTCGAGGTGAACTTGAAAAGACACAACAGTGGGCTACTAGACATAATATTAAAAGGCTTACCTAGCTTTATGGTACTTGATTTAAGATTTGTGGTATTTATTTTCAAGTCTTGTCTGTTGTAGGTGAAACTGAAAAACTCTTATAGACAGAGAAAACATCACATTCACTGATAGACATAATATCTAATTTATCAGTGAAAGGTAAAGTCACTTTGACACTTTCAGTTAATTTCGAATGAACGGCACAGGATCTGAGTTTGTAATCAGATGTACACATAAAACTGTTCCAAGGTAAACCATCCAGTTTTCACATTGATCTGCCATTGTCCTTACTCCCATTTGACTCCTTGAGGTACTGAGAAGTAATTCTCTAATGATGATGTACAGGTAACTAGGGTTACACTTGGTGCTGATGTTATAACTTAAGATCGATGTACTGGGATCCATGTCACCTTGAAACTTTTCTTTGGGAATCAGTGTTGCTTGCCCTGAATGCATTTTTGGACTGTGACCCTCCCCCTTTTTTAAGATTCCATCTTCAGTTTTGTGGAAAATCCCTCTACATCTTGTGGCTCAGATCTGTGCTTTAAACTCTCCTAGTAAGCACATAAAAGTTAAACATCACTGATTAATAAAGACTTACAATTCATTAATGCATCATTTCCACTTGTTAAACTTTGGTTGATTATATAAGTAATTATTTTATGGAAAATTAATTCTTTATTATAAAAGTTGTAGAAAGTTTTTCTGTATTGGTTAAATTTATGTGAAATTATAAAACTTTTGCAGGTAGAAATTCTTTCTGATTGAATATATGACAAGAAACATGAGAGTACATGAAAAATAGATAAAATAGAACATTACATATTGATTATGCACCTAAAATCTACCTAAATAAAGAGTTAGTCAACACTGTTTTAAATTTATGTAATTATCTTTTTTTTTTAATGAAGTTTTCAATTATCTAAGATAAAAATGGTGACTAGATTTTTTTCCAAACAATGTTATCACTAGTGAAACCATGATGAGTCAAGTAAAATGTCATATACAATATTACAGAACATAGCTTAATGAAAGCATCTTGATAGGGTTGGGTTTAATAGTAAATCAGCATAAAAAGCTTTCACCTTGCAATGTTAAGCTTGAGTGCTTTATTACAGTATCTTTATGGACAATATGATTTGTTACATGTATTTTCAAGATGTTTTATAAGATTGCATCACATTTGTGATATTGATGATTCCTGTTCATTTAAGTTGCAAGAAAATATTAAAAATATTTATATTAATTTTCATTCACTGAATGTACTTAAAAAGAAACAATATAACATAATGAAAACATGAAAATAAAACCTGCATTTCTATATTTTATATATTCATTTTATTTTACTTTTGCAGCACTGTACAGTATTTGAGTAATTTTTATTTGAAGTTTGTTTGTTTGAATTTATGCACAAAGCTACACAATGGGCTATCTGTGCTCTGCCCACAATGAGTATTGAAACCCGGTTTCT